ATGGGCAAAATTTAAAACACGAATATATTGTGATTTCTTATATTTACGCGAACACTACACATTGATTAATCAATATTATCGTAAGGTTGAGGTAGTAATAATGTAATTGCAATTTATGTATATTATTTAATTAAAATAGCTTCTTCAATAGCAATACATCCAAGTTCTTTCAAATATTTCGCATCCTTAACAAATGTTTATTGTTTGACGTAAGAAAAATGAAGATTGAAATTGTTGGGTTGAATTTTTTCTTACTAGCATTTACAATCGTTTATTTCTGCTGAAATATCTTATCTGTAGTCTCTAGACCCAAGAAAGGATATGAAATATTGAGGGTTTAGGTTAAGGTTGGGTGAATATTTAAAAGGGTCTCTTTATGAAGTGAAAATCAGCAATACTCGTCCCTAAATGCGATTAAAGTCATAAATTTTAATATTATACTTCTAAGGAATTATATGCTAAACACATCATTTGAAATAAAAGTAGGTAAGTAGAAAATTGTAAAAAATTAAACATAATTTAATTTAGCAGACCTTATTCGATTTTATTTATAATAATAATTATAAAAGGTCCTTCAGACTGAACTTCCAGTCTCAACGGAGACTAGTCATCCGCGAAGGACATGATTATAATGCCCGAGTGTATGCGCAAGCACAGGTGCACTCTCTATTTTCCTATCTCATAGTTCAATATGGGACGGCAAACCATGACCAGAGAGAGAGATGAGGCTCAGAACGAATGGCTTTACGTGCTTTACGAGGCACGGGGGTGAAACACCGCCAACTACCTTACTCTATGGAGAATTTCTTGACAGAAAAACCCGAAAACTGATTTTGGCTCCACTCGGGACCTCATGATCAAAAACTGCGTTTACGCTCACTGGACCAACGAGGCATTTCATTTGTAATTCCTTCTCGTATTTCACTGAGGGGAGGGGGAGGCGGTAGAGGAGAATTTATATGATCATTTATTTCGAAAAAATTCCTAAAAAGACGCCAGTTACTTCCAAAGTATGAAGCAGAAACTTTTTTATTAAATTGTAAATAATACATACTGATAGTCACTTTTTTGTTTAATTATCACTGGTTCGGAAAAAAACCTGTTCGTGGGAAGAACAACCAAATCAAAACCAGACCGAGCGGGACTTTAAAAATAAACAGCTTTTACGTTACATAATCAACTTTTGTTGTTGAAACAAATTAGAAATAGCTTGGTAGCGATCACCTCAATAAAGTTTTAAACTTTGAGGAAGTCAAATTTTGTTGTATATGCGTCGACTAGCTTGTGTCTTTTCTTAGTATTTATAGAATGAATATCACTTATTTTTGTATAACTACTTTTATTTTTGTGTACGTAGATTATATTTCTATAAAAGTATTTAGAAGCCAAAGTTATTAAGACAAAGTTAAAGTTATTAATTTCCTTAAATTTTTGTCAGATCGACTCTTTGGGTTTTAAATCATAGATTGCTTATATGATTTTACTAATTTAGATGTAATTTAGGCATGGTTCTTTATTTAGCAGATAAATATGTAGTTGTGTATGATATTGTTACGAGCTTAGGGTTCTTGACAATAAAAATTGCCGATAGGATTACCAAAATTAACTCTTTAATTCACTTTACACTAATTAAACTTAAAACACTAATAATTAATCATAGTGATTCACTTTATTCCGCTCCGAAGCTTCGTTTGTCTTGCCAAATTCAATACTTCCCCGATCGCACCTTGCAGCGCCTATAAATACACATTAGCACCGAAACATCCAGAACATTCAAGTAAATAAGCGCAAGGCGTCGAAAGTTCGAGTGTCGGCTTCTAGAAGCTTAGTTCTTCGTTTCGACACTAGATGGCACTGTGGGTTGAAAGATTAGTGATGTCATTTTCTGGAAAGTTTCCCCCGCTCTCGTCCCTGACACAACATGACGTTAACTTAGGCGCGCAACAATATAAAAGTTTCTCGATTCCAGCTTAACTGCAGTATTAATTGACATGTTATAACATGTTGTTCATCAAAAACTTCGAACAAAATATAGTTAAATTCGCCTAATCACAGAAAAGTCAGTCGCTGTCATATACTCGTATCTAGTAAAATAACCTTGACCTTGACTTACCTTCGGAGATGCTTTTGCTTGAGTAAGTATGTTCCGCTAAATTTGATACATGACATAATATTAGCAAAAATATTACGACACCCTTTACATTTTAAATACTGTAAACAGCATTCACATACCTTTGCTTTAGGTATTTCTTATTAAGAGTATTTTAGGATCCACAAACCCGACCAAAAATTATAAATTTTTAAAATTCGAATCCAGGGCCTACTCTCAGATACTATACCATTAAGCATCAAATTTCACCATTTATCGGCCATCAGGTCCTTGTTCATTAGTTAAAAGCTTTCAGCGCTTAAAAGTAAATTTGGCACTCGTATGTTTTTTTAGCACTGGATGTCCTAAATTTTTAGGTATTACATGACATACTACTAGAATTTGTGGTCTTCTTTTGCTAAACTACGATAAATTGCTTATTTGAAATAACATTTTCCTAATAAGATAAAGAAATATGGCCCAAAGCCAAGCAGAGTGCGGTGGCTGCTTGCTATATTAATGACAACGTTCTGACGGCCAAACAGCCGTCGCAGTTGCGAATGGTCGCGGTATTGAGTTATGAAAATGGAAACGGCTCCAATCGAAGAATATAGAGTATGTGTCCACGTCTGGAGACTACAGCTTAAAGGTTCACTTTAATATGAAAATTACTAAAAGCTTTGGCCTATAAATACGTTGGCATAAGTTGAGGTTTATTGCTTGCTTTTTCAAGAGTTAATTAAATTTTAGTAAACACATACGAGTTTCATACATATGAAGGTATCCCCGAAAATTATTTTTTCAAATGCAGAAAATAAATTTATACACCAGAAAATAATTTTCATTTTCATTTTACTGATGATCGATTAAATAAGTTATAAATACCATCTGTGTGATTGCTCCACTACCCTGCTTACCTGCCGTGGTGAAAATAAGGAGCTCATTTTGAGACAAAATTCTGTTCCTGTTTCTTTTAAAAGGCTAGCTAGTAGTATTAGAATAATATGGGATGAGGATAATTTTTTGTATAGAATAAGAGGCAATAATGAGTTAACAAGCTTATGTAGAAACCCAAGGTGAGGTTATTACCTGCGGGCTGTTCGAAAGAGATACCGCGGCTCCGGAACGTAAAGGCACTGAAGGAACACGGATGGTTTTTAGTCAGTAAAAGTCTGACACTCCCTTACGCTCCACCCAGAGCGAAAGGCGTCATTAGATGATTTTCCATCCGCAAAAAAAAAGGTGAGGTTATTAAAGAAATATGATAATACTACAAAAAGAGCCAATGACACACCTAGAAAATAAATTTATGGAAGCTGAAAATTTTAAGTTACCAGCTCGTAAACTGTTCACTTCTGAAAAGAAGATTTCAGTTTTTTTTGTGTAATCGTCGCCATTTAATGGTAATATTTTAAAGTTTTTTCAATGGCTGCGAAGTAATGGTTCGAACTTTAGCATAATTAAAAAGTCTTTAGTCTGGCAGTGAAATCGAAGAGGCAATTCAGGTGAAATACAAAATGATTATATTGCCATCTACCGGATATTTTTTCATTTTTTATTATTATATATATTTTTTAATAAATTAAATTAAAGTTATGCTATTATAAATTGTTATTGTAACCATATTTACAAATCATATTGAAACATAATTTGTACTTATGAAAAAAAAACAATTGGAATATTGGAAACAAGGAATATTTATATATCTGTTTATTCGTTTGTAGTAAGTTATACAGCCTGGAAGTAACCGTAATATCATAACAACCTGTTCAAGTCAAATTGTCTTGACTAAGATTGTGATATTAGATTCCTCGTAAACATAATATTTGCAAGTAGCCATATTTTAACACAACATGTTGATTACGATTATATTAGATTTTTCAAAACATGTTCTGAAGTATAACGGTACTGAAAACGCTGACTCCATTGCATAATTGTATTTGCTGGTCAAACCTAGGTTTCGTACGTCAAGACAACAGATTTATTTTGAGCATCCCATAAACGAGGTTGCATTTAGAATTATATTCATTATAGTGTTACGAGCTTGAGATTCGTAACAATTTAAAAACTGTCGATTGAATTACCAAAATTGCCACTTTATTTCCTGAACACCAATTACAACTTATAACACACTAATGATAAAACACAATTGTACTACTGATCACTTTAGTTCGAATTTATATCGCTTCTAAGTATTCGCTTGAATGGCCAATTCAATACGTCACGGTCGACAGTGGCCTTATATAGGGCATCTTCTGCTGAAACATCAAGAATGTGCGTGCATACCGGTCCTGACTGACTAGGTGTAGATAGGTCTAGGCTTGAAATCTCTTTAAGGATCTTGACTCTCCCAGTTCTGCTACTCGACACTAGAGAGTGCTAGTGGTAACTAATGTCTTCATGTACCAGATATTAACTATGATATGCTAAGAGTCTCCGGTGGAGGTTTGATTGAGGACTGACAAGAAGATCCTGTAGCTTGAACAAGAGATAGACAAGTTGCAATGGAATATTATAGGATCATCAGAGGTTCGAAGAAAGGGGGAGGACACGGTAATCCGGCAACTTGTTCTAACACTGGTAGGGCGAACATCTGTCCCAAGGAGGTAATTTATCGTCAACTATTCTCTCGTTAACAACGGTGTAAAGATTCTAATATATAGATCTAACAACAAAAGAAATCAGTTCTATGCATCACAGCGATTCTGCGCCTGATTTAACTACTCTTAGGACGACTGTCAGTGAGAGGAAAAAACGAAAGCACCCTGGAGGAGATGACAGCATCACGTCCTTGATAAAAGATATGTTTACCAATTTCTCTAAGGAACAGGAAACGCGTTTTTATAATTTACAAAGTACAATTGTAGACCTCAAAGAGCAAAATTATGAGTTAAAACGATGTGTGGAGCATATGTCTAACAAATATGACGATTTACTTACAATAATTGCTAATTTGGAAAAAGAAAGGAAAGAGGACAAACGGCGCATGGCTTTAATGGAGGATAGATTGGAAACTATGGAGCGTAAAATGCGTGCATCGGGGATTGAAGTACGAAATATTCCTAAATCAACGGGTGAAACAAAAGATTTTTTGTTTAACATTATTAAAAAAGACCGGAAAGGCCGTTAATATTAGTATAGAAGACTCCGAATTGAAAGATATATATAGATTGAACTCCAAGGACAGTTCTGGTCCGATTATAGTGGAACTAAGCTCCGTTATCAGCAAGGAAAAAATACTTAGAGCGGTAAAAAGTTTTAATAAAAACAAACCGAGAGACGAGAAATTAAATACTTCTCACCTACAACTGCAACAACCAAAGAAACCAGTGTTTATATCAGAAACTTTAACTCAAAAGACTCAAAAAATATTTCAACTCGCAAGAGCATTCAAAAAGGCACACAGTTTTATGTACTGCTGGACTCTGAACGGAACTGTTTACCTACGCAAAGATGAAAAATCCAGCCAGATACGAATTAACAGTGAAGCCGATCTCGAAAATTTAAGGAAGACTCAATGACTAGAATTATCATTTATTTTTATTATTTATTTAAAATTTTACTGTTATTTAATATTTCCTTTATGTTACTTTATCATAGTACGGTTTACATTACACAAATACACTATAACACTTCATACATATTTTTACACTACAAAAATTATTTTTTTAACAAAAAATCCTCACGGAATTACCGTAAGAATGCTATGTTGTATAAAACAAAATTTGATATTTTGTTAACATTATTGCTTTCTTTTTTCTTCTATTTCGTGCCGTATACGGAAATAATTAAGAATAAATTCATTAATTTAATTTTAAACATATATTTTGTTAATAGTTTTAATTTATTTAATAGGTACAATTTATCATGCCTTCTATGCCTTCTAAATTACAAAAAAGTAATAGAACTTATCGGAGTCCATATTAATCACATTATTCTCTATGTTCAGAGCCAGATTAGGATGCAACAACTGTTGCAGAAATATTTTTTTTATTAAGCAAAACCAAATAACTTATATAAAAAGATGGCTATCAACGTAGAAAATTTAACAATCGATATTGATAACATCTCTGTGGCAAAATCATACAACTGTAGCACAGAACACTGTAATAATATTATTCAGAATGTCAGTTTTTCTAAATCTATAAATGTTTTAACTCAGAATATACGAAGCGTTTATAAAAACATAGATGGGTTAATAGCACAATTGGAAAGATTTACTTTTGAATGTGATATTCTAATTCTAACGGAATGCTGGTTAAGTAGTCACAAACCTCCTCCACTTATTGATAATTACACGTGTTATTTTTCTAAAAAAACCTTAAACCAAAATGACGGTATAATTATTTATGTAAAATCTGGAATAGATTGTATTGTGGAGGAGCCAGATTCGATTGGTGGTAACTTCCTTTTGCTAAAGACGGAACCAAATATTGCAATATTAGCCACATACAGATCGCCATCGTTTTATAGTATTGACAGCTTTTTAAACACAGTTGAACATGTTCTTCAACCCATTAAGGCAAAAAATATATATCTTTTAGGTGATGTCAACATTGACATTAAACCTAACAATGCCGATAAAAATAGCTCATCTTATTTAAATCTTATGGCAGAACTAGGTCTTCTACCAGGACATACTTATCCAACGAGAGTCAATAATTGTTTGGATCATGTCATGATTAAAACCTATTTGCCTGCCACAGTAGTTGTTCTGAATTCAACTGTTACTGACCATAGTTCTGTGCTTCTAAACCTTTCTTTTAATAACGACTATACTCATAAAGTATGCTATAATACAAAAATTGATTACAATGAAGTTATTAAAAATCTGTCTACAATTGACTTTTCTTTTATAAACACCAACTGCAATGCAGATAACGCTGCCTCACAATTAGTTGAAAAAATATCTTCGATAGTAAAATTTTGTACTCAAGAAAAAGTGATTACTAGGCGGCAAAGAATTCTTAAGCCATGGGTTACACCCGGAGTTCTACGGTGCATTCGCCATAGAGATAAATTGCATAAAAACCTTAAAAAGGATCCCGATAATAACATTTTGGTAGTTTCGTATAAGCGATATAGAAGTTTTTGTAATTCTCTCCTAAGAAGGCTTAAATTTGAATATGAAAGATCTCTTCTTAAAAAGGCAAAAGATAATAAACAAAAATGGAAAGCTATTAAAATTATTACAAATCAAAATACTATTAATGCACCAGCAAAAGAGTTGCTGAATAATATAGATAATAAGTCTTGTACAATTGAGAGTATAAATGATTTTTTCTCAAACGTTGGTAAAAATTTGGCAAACAAAATAAGTCAAGACAAAACCGAAAACTATCGGTACAACTTCAATTTACCTTGTGTTGTCAATTCTTGCGTTCTCATTCCACCCGACGAAGCGGAAATAGAGTCTATTATTATCAACCTTAAAAATGACTGCGCTGTAGGCTGGGACTCTATCTCTAGCAAACTTTTAAAGCTTGCTAGAGATATTCTTGTTCCGCCTTTAACTAAATTATTTAATATCTGTCTAGATCAGGGTATATTTCCAAAAGTTTTTAAAAAATCCATTATAACTCCAGTACACAAGAGTGGCTCAAAAGATAATATAAATAATTACCGGCCTATATCTGTATTGCCTGCTCTCTCAAAAATTTTGGAAAAAGTTTTAAATACTCGGTTGATGAATTTTTTTAGAAAAGAATAATATTCTGTCACGTCATCAATATGGTTTCAGGTCGGGAAAAAGTACAGAAAATGCTGTTAGTGACTTGGTTGATTACGTTACCACTAAGCTAGATAATAAGCAAAAATGTATTGGTGTTTTTCTAGATCTAGCCAAGGCATTTGACACTGTTTCGATTCCCTCTCTCCTTGACAAACTAGAGAGAGTAGGAATTCGTGGTGTAGCGCATTCCATTTTTAAGGACTTTCTTTGTGATCGTATGCAGTGTGTTAAGATCGATCGAATAGTAAGTTCTTATGACGCAGTTACATATGGTGTTCCACAAGGAAGCATACTTGGCCCAAGTCTCTTCTTGGTTTACATTAATGATCTTTGCCAACAGCCATTATATAATGGACAAATATTTACGTACGCTGATGATACGGCGCTGGTATTTTATGGAGAGACTTGGGATGAGGCTTGTAAAAATGCAGAAGTTGGAATACACAAGGTAAACTGCTGGCTAAGATTGAATTTACTTACTCTAAACCTGTCAAAAACAACTTTTATCCAGTTTAATATCAAGGAAAACCACACTGAAAATATATCAATCAAGCTACATTGCTGTAAATTACTGAAAGATCGACAATGTTCATGCCATATGCTCCATAAATCTGATAATGTCAAATACCTAGGCGTTATTTTAGATTGTAAAATAAACTGGCTTAGTCATATAGATCTACAAACCTCTAGAGTAAGGAAGCTAATTTGGGCGTTTAAACATCTAAGGTATGTGGCTGATTTTGATACACTTCGCGTAGTATATTACGCGCTTGCTCAGTCAGTAATAAACTATTGTATTAGAGTTTGGGGTGGTGCATACAAAACCCACATTTTGCGACTTGAAAGAGCCCAAAGGTCGTTGCTTAAAACGATGACTTTTAAGACGTTTAGATTCCCAACTAGAACACTCTATAGTGATTGTCAAGTTCTTACTGTTCGGCAGTTATACATTTTACAACTTATAAGCAGACAACATCTTGCTACTGCATACGACAAAGACAAAATAGAAGGAAAACGTACAATAGTTAATGTCTTGACTCCAACCGCTTTCCGCACGTCCTTTGCCAGGCGCCAACATGGTTATCTTAGTGTACATTTGTATAACAAAATAAACAAAATTCTTGACTTTTATCCACTTCCACTTTACAAATTTAAAAAAGAAGGTAGAAAAATGGCTTTTATCATTAAATTATGAAGAAACGGAGGACTTGTTTAATGTTATAATGTAATCCGCTTGATGAATCCCGTTATTTTTCATTTTATTTATAAGTACATATAAAACACATGCATACACAAACGCAAAAATACGCTTGCTGACACACACACACGCACACGCACATGTACACACCCACACATACACACACACACACACACACACACACACATACACACACACACACACACGTACACATGAACCCTAACACACTCAACACACAGATAGTACGTAAATTAAGTAGTAAATAATTTTTATACCTTTTGAAACATTCTTGTTATTTTGAACCTTTATTGTTAATTTATTAGGTCATAAAATTGGGAGAGGGCGCTGATTGCTGAGATACAGGTATAATTCCTAGTTCAGCAATCAGAGACTTCATATATTCACTGTATAATTATCAATAAAGCTTATTATTATTATTATTATTATTAAAGATTGGGAGTGTGTCGATGAAGGTTGTGTACCTTATATTCAGAATCACCAAACGGTATATGCTAAAGGTCGTACAGGTCTACGCATCAACCTCGGCACATCCCGATAAGGAGGTGAATTAAATGTATGAATATATCTCCAGAGCCATGCATTCCTCCAACTCACTATACGGTGTCAATGGGAGACTTCAACGCAAAACTAGGCACAAGAAAGAACAGTGAGCTGAAAGTAGGGAAACCCCCCTTGAGTTTTGTTGGTTGTGGCCAGCAGCTGGCCGATTTCACGGAGAAAGAGGAACTCTTTACGATGAACTCCTTCTTCCAAAAACGGCCCCACTGAAAGAGGAACTGGTCGAGCCCTGATGGTTTGACAAAAATGAGATTGACTTCATTATTACAACCAGACGACAACTGTTGAATGATGTCTCAGTCATCGCAAGGGTGAAAACTAGCAGCGATGACCGAATGGTGAGAGGCACATTGAACCTAAACGAGAAGTTAGAGAGGTCACGTCTAATGAAGTCAACGATCCGTCCTCCTCGTGCTCTAATCCAAAGCCCCGAAAACTTTCAGCTCGAATTACAAAATCGTTTTTAGTGCCTGAAAAACTGAAATAAAGTGGACGATATAAATGACAAGCTTTTGGAAACTATCCATGTGATTGTAACTAAGTTCTCTAAGATTCGTCAGCAGAAGAACACTAAAACTTTCCGATCACACTCTTAATTTCATGGCTGTTATACGGGAGATGA